TTTTGATCTAGTTTTGTGTGGAGCAAGATTGCTTACCCTCCTGCTTTTCTTACTCAGTTCTCCCATATTTTTAGTTTTTGACTTTTCAGCTGCTCTTTATCAAGTGTGTTTTATTCATACAAACATCTGCCTGTGACTCTTGATAAATAGCTTCCTTTTGCAGGCATCTGATTTTTTGGTTATGAAATGGCAGTTTGCAGCGACAAGGCAGCTGTGTCTCGACAGTGTTATCATTTAGGAATGGAAAGAACACAGGCTGAGCCAGCTTCAGAGTGCAGTGCACAAGCCCGACCTTGTTTCTTGCTAAGAAACATCTCCTTTTTGCCTGTCTCTGGTAGAAGCTAGGCTGGGAGATCACAGCAAACAGCTGCAACAACCTGTGTTTAATGTGGTGACACTAATGAATTCTGAGAATTAATCTTCAGCCAAGAAAATATGATGGAAGGTACTAGAATTTCAAATTAAGTAATGGATTGATTTCCTTCAAGACTGGAATTTGCTTCCATTTTCTTCTGGTGGATTTCTCTATCCTATTCAAACCACCCACCATGGCCTTATAAATCCAGGGTAAATCCAGGTAGTATATCTCATGGTAGTTTTAAATGTTTAATTTTCTTGTTTTGTTCTGTCTCTTGGCACAGAGATAACTACACCCAAATCCAGATTTTTAAAAATAATTTTAAAAATCTGGAAGTGAAAGAATTACTTATGAGTTTGGAAGAAAGCAATATCCCTAAATCTAGTCCTTATTTACTTTTTTCCAGAGTAAAGGACTCTGGGAAGAACTGAACTTGGGGAATGTATTTCCTGTTTGAGACACTGACTTCTATAGAAACCGCAGCCTACAGGTGTCTCAGATGTGCAGTTGATGGTCATAGGCTTTATGTATCTCCCCTCAGTCAGCTGAGATGAGGACTCTGCTAGCATTGTGGGGGCCTACTACTGACTTCTCACAACAGCTTTTTGAGGGGTGTCATTTGCAGAGTCCTGGTTCCATTGACACCAGAAAGAGTCAGGGGCCAAGTTAGTTTGGAAACATCGACTTAAACAAGATCAAGCTGTTTTCTTTGCCCTAGAGGCTCTAAGAACATTTAATATGCTCACGTACATTATAAAACTCCAGACTTTTACTTGGTTAGACAGTTACCAATGTTTCCCAAACCTTTTGACTGAACACTAGTTGTATTTTTCAGTGGAATATGTTAGGTGTCTAGGGTTTCACTCAAGTCACCTTATGTTGGTTGGCCCACATTTCCCATTCATTCTATGCATTCCCTTATAAAAACTGCTCAGTCCCTGGCTGGGGGAAAATATTCTGCATCTGGAATTTGCAATTCCTGGTTTAGAAAGCAATCTTGAAATGAATAAGCATATTATAACTCCTTAGGTTTTCAGTGTTTGGTCTTCGAGTAGGTTGGAGGATTCTGTCATGTTTTCATAAAGGACATGGAGGCTGTCAGGTGTTCTTACAGACCCCAGGAGTCAATTCTGTCTTAATCTACTAAATTCCTGCCTGGAAGGAGAATAAGACAGAAATGGCAAGATGCCAGATATAAACAGCATGAGTTTAGAGTCTTAAGCAATAAAGAATGTACCCTAGTTAAAGTTGGAAAAGGGACTAAAGGAAAGAATTGTTGGTAGGCTTTCAAAGGGGACAGTTTTGGGGGTGCAGGGGGTTGTCCTGGTGGCCTTTTGAATTCCCAGCTACACAGCTTGCCTAGTCTGGCTTCTTGCATTGCTCATCCAGTTTCCCGACTTTGAAATCTCTTCTACCTCTTCTTCACCAATTGAGTTCAGTTTAGTCCCAAAACTTCCTTTCAGACCTTCCTCGCTTCTCACCTCCTAGCTAAGGCTTCCCTGACTGACTCTCCCTGCCCTACCTACTGTTCTAGGCTGTTGCATCTGTGCAATTTAAGAAAACACAGTGCAGAGGAAGAAGAGCTCTCTCATGGTAGTCAAAGGATTGGCCTCATCTCTGTCAGAACTTGACCTGAACTTCCTCACCCCATGAAAAAGGGGGTTAGAACAGAAAATCTTATACCCTTAGCTCTGAAGCCCTGTGCTTTTGTGTGATTATTTCTTATTCTGAATATAGAAGCAAACACTGGCTTTTGTTTTTTCCTATGTTTCTCTTGTCCTTCTATCTTTCCAATTAGAATGTAGTTCCTTGAATAAAAGGGTCTTGATTCTTTATGAATTAACTTATTTTGGGTAATTCTGGCTGTGTAATAAATGTTCGCTGAACAAATGAAATTATTGATATATGATTCCAATGACTTGGAGTCTAGTAATTGCATGACTTTTAGCCATATCTGTTCCTAAGATAGTACTGTCCTCTATCAGTAAAATAGTAATTCCATTTCAGTCTGGCTGTTTGATTCCCATGAGAAAAAGTATGCAAAAGTGTTTTAGAATAAGGCTATCCCATCAAGGTCTTTATGCCCTTCTCCTAAAAATCCTCCGGTGCAGCTGGGTATGTCACAACTCTGTTTAGCATTCTTCCCATATACATTCATTTTCAATTTTGCTGATCCAATGATATGACATTCAGCCCACTCGATTCTTACTGAGAGAACTAACAAATCTTTTTGATCATTGCTTCCAGAGAGTAGATTACCTACCATCTTCGTTTTTAGGGATCTTCAAGAGACAACAGATTCACTTTAGTTTCTTCCCTGCCTAATTATCTTACTTCATTATTTAGTTGCCATTTCTTACTCCCTCTGTGATATAGAGCGAGCTCCTCTCCAAAATATCAAATGATCTGGCAACCTCATTGGTAGCCTTTTTCCCCCACCGGAGGCTGAAATTATGAAACAAGATATAGCACCTTTAATTACATCCCCAGACTCCAGTGGAGACTTATTTTCATAAAACTGGAGTATGGGTTTCTTGGTCTCTGTCAAACCCTATCCAAAGAGCTTTAATTATTACAGTACCAGGACCTTATTTCTAGGCCTCATCTGGAACACTGTCCCAAGGCCTCTATCCTGAGGAGGAAAGTAGAGGCAGTTACATCCCAATTTCCCATTCACATGCCATGAATAATTTTCTATTAATAGATGTGACTCCCACCTTCAGTCTCAGCCCCAAGTTTACTCATTTGAAGTGTTGGCACTAGTCATCAGGCATTGAGGATTGCCCTTGTACTTTTGCTCTATGCAGGAATGATGTAGCATGACCTGCCCCAGGTCACTGGGCAGGCTTAATTCCTGTTCTATACATGCCCTCTGATGTAGGGAGTGTATGAAGCTACCATGGCATCTGTAGTAGGAACTCTCAGGGGACACAAACTGTTTTTTTTTTTTTTTTCCCACAAACTGTTTTTTTAGGAGTTTTAGCATACCATCCCTCAATTCAAGAGGACAGGGCCATTACACCTGTATTATTCACCGTATAACTACCAAGAGGTTCCTTATTTTCCAGATGCTTAGGGAAAGCACATTTATTTTACTTTGGTTGTCACATATACATAGACAGATGAATAGACATGGAATTCAGGGAAGATGGCTAATAGAAGACATGAACATAGTATTTTTTAAGACTGCACTGATTTATTTTTGGTAGGAAGAGTAATAGATTATACAAAAGTCTCCTGAACCCATGAAAGTCAAATGATTGATTTCTTCCTGTGGCAAACCAGAGGTGGTATTTATAGTTGTGCAGGCAGCAGAATGGAGATAATCTAGGTTCTTTTGGCTTTTCTAACTGAAAGCTCCAGTTCCAATAGATAGGAAATCCCTTGAATCAATTCTAAAACTGACTGGGAAATTTACTGAGTATCTTTTCAGGACTAGGAGGTGAGGGATGTGAAAATGACTTGAAATGTAAACAACAAAGGTTAAAGCCATTTTGTAAATCCAACAGTTAAGGATTGTTTAAAGAAGTCTGCTTAAATGTTTGAAAAGATGTTCAAGATGAGGCTGATTTTTTTTTTTTTTACCATTTGTGAATGGATTTCATTATTTAAAATATGTCATGTTTTAGATGTTGCTGGCATGTTCACTATTGGGAAAACTGGAAACATTTGTTTTATACAGTGGGCAGAATGGCATTTAGCCTTTATCCTAAGCCTCCAAAGTGAGCTAAAGACTGATAGATAGTTTAAAAGGGCAGTTGTTGAAATTTCCTTCTCCTATCAGGGGCAGCTATTCAGAATGGAAATGCAGTGGTAATTGGAAGGGTATTCATCAGATTCAATTTCACTAGAAATTTCCTTGTATCAGAATCATCTTGGATAACATAGGGGATACAGCAAAATGTACAATCGTTGTTTTCTTTGAAAAGGGCATTTAAATCTGAAACAGAAAGTGGTTACACCAGTATGGTTTTAACCAATTAACTACAGAGGAGCTTAAATGCAACACAGTTTTTACCATTTTCAATGGACTTTTTGTTCCTTGTTTGCATAATTCCATTCCAGTTCATCTCAATTATATTGTAGTTACTTCCTGTTCTGAGGTTTTTCTGCTTCAGAAATCATTAGAAATCAAGGTGCTGAAGTTTTTCTGTGAAGGTTTCTTTATGATTAGTTTCTTTCCTTGCACACTCCTGAATGTTTTTCTCTACCATCAAATAGTGGACATTTCATAAACTAGGATTTTATTTGAAAGACAGTATATAATTTTATATGTTTCTAAGATACAAGACTAATCAACTTGACTTCACTGTAAACATTTTCCTGTAGTGAAAGTTCAGATAGAAAATTCACATTTTTTTTTTCTCAGTGTTTTGAGTACTTCAAACTCAATTGATGGCAAAAATTTATTGTTTTCAACATGTACTTAACCCAAATTAAAATAGATTTTTAATGTACTGATTAATTTGGCCAGCAGAGAATTATTATTCTTTTTTAACCCTCTTGGCACATATGAATAAAGAGCTGTGTAAGGTTAGTGATGAGGTTTTATAAATGAACTTTTTTGCCTCTCTCTTGTACTCACAGAGGAACCAGGTATCTAAGGTTGTACTTTGGATTGTTTGTTGATTTTTGCAAACAGGTGTCTTATTAAGGATTTTGAAAAGCGGCCTTCTGTCACACATCTCCTTGACCACCCATTTATTAAAGGAGCCCACGGGAAGGTTTTATTTCTGCAAAAACAGCTGGCCAAGGTCCTCCAAGACCAGAAGCATCAAAACACTGTTGTTAAAACAAGGTATGGTACTTGGTGTCTTCCTACTTCCTCTCTCACGTTATTTATAAAAATGGCATGTCATGTGTTTTGATTTGTCCAGCATTAGTACTGGTAATTATCACATCCCTGCATTTTTGAGAGTTTCATTTACATGACATTAAGTACTCCATACTCAATGGATGAGATCAAGAGAGCTTTAGAAACAAGCTGTCCATTTGTTCTCCTACGGTTAATATCTCTCAACTGTGGCTAAAAGACTGCTCTGCCCTTATGTTCTAGTTAAAAACCAACATACACATATATTTATATTTAATATGAATGTGGATTTTTTTTTTTTTAACCAGTAAGGTTAGCTGTATGAAAACAGCCAGGGAGAGATTGTGTGAAAAATCTTTACTTGGCCGTTGCTGATTAGAAAGAAGAAAGTAGACTATAAAAAGTGATTTTGGAAAGATTACAAGTTAAACACTAGAAGATGTTTCTCTAATGTGCTCTGAGACCCTATTCTTTAATTAAAAATTCCTCAGAGACAATTTAGTATTTTTAAATGATTTTTTTTTCCACAGGTGATGTCTGTGCTATCCAAAACAACTGTGATTCTCCCTCCCTGCCTCTTTCTCTAAAGTGTAGATTTTAAGAAATAAATATTTATTTTCAGGGCCAGTTTCTTAAAATGGTATTCCATGGTGGTCTCTAAGAAATAGACCTTGATTTCTGTCCAGATGGTGGCAGAATTTCTCTTTAAAAATATTTTTTTAATGCAAATAAACCTGCTTCCCAGCTCAGCAGTTACTTGGTTTTATAAAACTGGCCAGGATGCAGATAAGCTCTAATCCATTATTATTAAAAGAACATTAAAAGGACTGGAGGTGAAGAAAATAAAATTTCACTAGTCACAAGTTCTGGAAATATTCATGTATTCTGTGGAACATTGTTTACAAGTCAAAAAAGCATCGGAACTCTTGGAGCTGGAGGGATAGTTTTAAGGTGACTGTATCTTGCTGATTTTCCCTGCCACCACCACGTTCCCTTTTGAATAGCTCGAAACAAATTTTTTCCTGCTCTTTTCCCCTTTCCACTGTCATTTGTGTTTCTGTGGCTTACCCATAGGTAGAGAAAGTCTTATGACTTGGTACCTTTTTAAAACAGTAAGAACTTGCATTTAAGCCCCGGGGAACTAAAATCCCCTTTCTTCCCCTGTTTCTGTTCTTGTACACCAGTCACTTCCCCCAAATCACTCACCTCTCCCTCAGCACACACAGCACTAGCACCAGAAATGAAGATGAAATCAAATCAAACAGACAAAACAAAAAAAAAACAAACCCAGCATTTAAATGCTCTAAGTTGAATCAAGCCTTTCCTCCTTTTTACTATGTTCTGAAATTTGCTGCAAAACAGTTTTTAAGACTTAGGTTGCAAAGTTATTCAGCTTTTCACATTTGCTGGACTCTGCCTGTCCAGAGGTATGTTCTCTTTTTAAAGACATTCCTTCTTTTAGTATAGAATATCAGACTCCAGTCTCTCTCACCCACTCTCTCTCATTTCTCTTTATCTTTTTAACTTCTTTGCTCTCAAAAGCCTTATATGGTGGCAAAGACTTCTTACAGAGTCTTTGTAATCTTCAGTTTCACTCAGGAGTTTATGTTTCTTTAAAAGTCTTTAAAAAACAAACAAACAAACAAACAAACCACACAACCAGTGGTGCCTGGCTGGCTCAGAGTAGAGCATGCAACTCTTGATCTCGGGATCATGAGTTTGAGCCTATTTTGGGTTTAGAGATTACTTTATAGATAAATAAATAAAATTTAAAAACCCCTGCAACCTTAAAAATAAGAATAAAATCTTTAAACAGTTGCTTCCTTAAGAGGTAGGAAAATTAATTCTAAAGGAAACACAGTACCTGTGAGACACTTAACCTGCCACCTCTCCCACTTCCTGTTACTTCCTCATAGCAGCTGGCAATTATGGTTGGCTACATAAGTGTTTTTAAAGCCCACCCAGAAAAACTCAAATATCATTTGATGCTGGTGACTCAATATATCTAAAGTTGTGAGTTTACAGGATAAGGTTGGAAAAGAAAGAACATTTGAGGCAGTTACATAGATGAGTGAGGCAGATGCCCCACCTACCACTTTCTTGTACAATTATGGTCACCCAGAAGGCAGCCCAGTGTGGTGGTTGAAGCCACTAGCGCTGCCAGAATTTAATCCCAGCTCAACCACTCAGAGACAGGTTGTTACATTGGTCTGTTCAGAGGTTTCTTCATCTATAATATGGGGATTCTTTTGAGGGTCAAATGAGTCCATATATAAAAAATAAGTAGAATAGCTCTTGATACAGAGTTAACCGTCACAGTATTAGCAGTGTAGTATATGGGGGGGTCTATTTAATTCAGAGTTCTCCATTTCTGTTTAATACTACCTACTTGGCTTTAATTTGTATAAATTCATCTCTTTATCATATAACATCATGAAAATAATCAGTACTTAGCTACTGAATGTTAAAAATAACAATTTCTATCTCATTTAAAATATTTATTCATTTATTTGTTTAAGAGACATTTATGTGTGCATGTGTCAGGCCCTCTGCTGAACAGAAGGACTACAAAGGCAAATCAGATATAGTTCCTGATAAAGTACTAATAGCCCAGTGTGTGAAACAGACAAGAATCAGATAAGAACAATTCAACATGAAAAGTACCTGGATAAAGGGATGCTGGGGAACACCTGGAAAGAAAAGACCCCTGGAACTGGTGGGGAGATGATCTTTGCATCCTGAAGAATGAATAGAAGAGGAAACAGATTATTCTGGGTAGAGGAGAATAATGAGCAGTGATCAAAGGGCAAAGGTACAGAGGCTGGAGAGAGCTTAAGGAATTTGGTGAACATTTCGTTGGCATTGCTGGAGCTTGGCATGGAACAGGGAGAGGGAGAAACCAGGCAGGCAGGGGCCAGGTCATGATGGGCTACAGAGCTTCCATTTCTTTCTTGGGAACTCAGGAGCCAGTGAAGGTTTTTAAGCAGGCATGTACTCCAGGAAGGTCCTTCTGACTGCAGTAAAGAGAATGGATTGGAGCTGGGCAAGGCAGGAGCAGAGAGACAAGTGAGCAGATTGTGACAATTTGCAAATAACAGGCAATATTAAGGACTTAGTGGTGGATTTGATGAGAGGGAGCAGAGACAGAGAAGTGTTACAGGGTCTGTTCAAATTGGACTGCCTCTCTGCCATAGTTAAGACTGCCAAACAGAACCAAACAGAAATTGTAAGACACTAAGGAACCAAAATCAGTAAAGAGATTATGCTTCCTTTTCCTAACCTACCAAATGCAATGCCAAGTACTTCCAGATATACACAAAGTTTTCAGCTTTCCGTAAGGGTTCTGCAGTGTTCCAAATGGCTGAGTTCTTCAGCTGGAGAGTTGTTTAGTTTTGAGAACCAAATGCAGAGAAATGAAACCTACAGACTGTAGGGAAAACTGTCTTACTGTTCCTGCAAAGGCAGGGAATGTTCTTTCCACTTTAGTATTTTCTCCAGGGGAGAGAGAAGTTGATGGTTTGAGGGGAAGACGGCAGGTTCTTAAAGAATGGGGCAAAGTTGGACAGGTGAAGTGGAGGATCTTACATAGAGGGACACATTGAAAATAAAGAGGGAGAGGAGGTAATAGAGGAAGCAAGAGGAAGTGGGAACAAGGGCCTAAGAGAAGGGTTGACCTTAAGAAGAACCTCTAGATTGAGAAAGACACAGAAAGATTAGATGAAGATATCTGGAAAACTTGAGGGGTGAGAGTGGGATAGGGAGAGGGGGTCCTATGAGGCAACTCATGTCGAATGTTGAATGCCCTTTATCTTTCAAAAAAAGTAAGAAAGATGGTCTCAAAGTTGGGAGTGGGCTGTGGACACCAGGGAAATGTTAACTCTTTGAAACAGCCACTAGGAGGAATGTTATAAAGGGTCCATTAAAGATGGACATGATGATTGCTCAATAGCACAGAAAACCCAAGAGGAACTTAACTGAATAGCATTCCATTGTAGTGAAGTTAATCACCATTTAAAATAATGCATGTAGAGCATTCAGCACCAGAACCTCTCAAAAAAATGTACCTTTACCACCACTGCCTTTCCTATTATCTCTTGCAATTCTTAGTAAAAGGGTAGGAGTAGAGGAAGCAGATACTCTGGTCTTCAGATTGGAGGCTAACTTGATGGACATGATGGGTGGACAAGGGAGCAGAGGAATAAAGATGAGGAGAGTATCCTTGGGATATTTTGGGGATTTGGAAGAAAGTGAAGCCAGAAGTGGCTTTTTAACCTTTGAGGCCTGGTCTAGGTCAAGAGACTGGCAGCCGCAATGCAGATAAAGAGCAGATTCAGTGAGTGGTTGGTGAGTGGACTGTAGTAGAACTGAGATCTTGGGAACTTTTGAAAAATAACTGTGAACTAGTCATGGCTGAACTTGTAGAGAAATTCAGTGGAGTTAGAAAAGTTGTTGGAGAGTTGATGAGTTGAGGAACCCTGAGGTCAGTTTGTGGAAATAACAAAGTGGTTGATCAGGGGTGGGAAAACCAAAGACTGATACCAGGGGAATAGAGAGAAAGGAAAATGGAGGTCAAGTGCTGGAGGAAATGATATACAGGAATGATGTGGCATTTTTAAAAGGTGAAAGATTGGTTAGGGAGAAGTATGGCTAAGAAATGCAGAGAGGAACAGGGAAGATGCCCCTTCTGCTACCTTCTCACAGTGAGTAGGTGGAAAGTGAAGCTGGGGCAAAAGCCTTATGGGGCAGTAATCTACTTCAGTTCTGTTGAGATGAGTACGTGTTCAAGAGAAGGCTAGGAATCATGGGAGCTTGTTCACTATAGAGGAGGAACTGCTTGAATGGTGGTGTGCATGAAGAATGACTTGAATGGTGGTGAAACCCCATCTCCCCTCTCCTGGATCTAAGCAGTCTAGCTCTTCAGAGTGATCTAGTTGTGTGGAAAGTGAAGCCACGATCCATTCCCCTTTTACATCATGTATGTGAGG